TTAGTCGAATAACTGTAATTATTCAAATTGATATTCGAATTATTCAGATCAAGACCGATACGGTGTTCATATGATTATATGTAAACTTTATGTATGCTAGTGCTTCTATATATTTAAATATATTATTCGAATAGGAATTATTATTCAAATAATTCATAATTATTCGAATAAATATGAATTATTCGAATAATAATTCTTATTCGAATAAATATGAATTATTCGAATAATAATTCTTATTCGAATAAATATAATTTGAGGCTCAAAATCAATAATTACCAAACAATTATCCAACAAAAAGATCAGCAATTAAAAAGTAAACGCATTGAAATTAACCGCAATAAGGCTAAATTATTCGAATAATTTATCGAATAATTTTTAGATAATTATATTCGAATATTCGCCGAATACGAATATTATTCGAATAACGAATACGAATCCGAAGCTCTAATCACAAAATTGACTGCTCAAATTTATTAATAAACAGGTTTATGATTGATTTTTCAATTCGACTTGTAAAATACAATGATAATTTAATCACATGCTGTAATTGCTATTTTACAAAATAGAATACAAAAAAAAAGACAAATACAAAAAATACAAGACCATTTAATTTTTACAACAAATATCCCGATCACTATATCAAGATCAGGGGGTATTTAGCAAAAATACTCTGATCCGTAAGTGTACGAGTGGAAACGAAGTTTCCGCTAATACCCAACGGATCAGGATATTTTTTATTACAAAATTATTTTAACAAGCTTACTGATTGCGTAATAATCTCTCTTACGCTGATATTGCCAGTTCTGTTATTAATTTTGTGCAAACGTCAAAAAATGGATACACAGAAGTAACTTCTTTTCCATCAACTTGTAATATATTGGATGACATTGGTGCTTCTCCTTGTCTATCATCAATAGTCGATGATGTACTGTCTTGTTGATTTGATGACATAAATGATTCTACTTGTGATTCAAATGATGATGGTGAAGAAGTAGATGACATAGATTCAGCCACAGAAGGTAATTCATAGCCAACATTTTTGAAATCAACAAGATAATTATTGATGTCAAGTCTATAAAGCTGCAAATCAATTTTAACCTATAGTAAATTTTTTATTTATTTTTTTTTTTTTTTTAGATAAAATATTATAAACCAGGTAATGCATAGAATTGTGTCCGGAGCTTATGTATATGACCAATCGCACGGAAGCGACGGACAGACTTTTCACGTGACTATTGATCATCCTCCGGACATAATAATCATATAAATAATAAATAACTTATGCGTACTTGTAATCCAGACGGATAAATATAACGACTCCGAACGTGAAAAGGATCAATGGTCTTCCATTCCTATAAAATTATATGAAATTTGTTAGACTATTTATTTATAACAGATATTAAATAATCATGTGTTAACGTATACCATTCCAATGTTTTTAAGGCCACGATAGATTTCCAGCATTACTTCCAATGGTGGATTTTGCGAACGAATTCCAAAATGCCATTTCGATCTCGATTTGGGTCGTTTGGTTGTTATTGAAATATTATTACTTAAGGAGTAGGGAATTTGAGAATCTATATGTCATTATTATTGATTAATACGCTAGCATACTAAATAATCAGATTGCAAAATTTATGGACCTTTGGGAAATTCATCAACAGGTGGTAGGCTTGAACTTAATATAGCTATACTGGACGGTTCATTATCTTCCTCATCCGCGTCTAAAGCTATACTGGGCGGTTCATCATCATCCTCGTCCACGCTTACCTTCCTAGAATGCTATTTTATAATAGAATACAATTAACTAAGATAAAATTAATAGTTTTATATCATACAATTTAATGGCTGACCTGAAGAAGTGTGTCCCATGAAGGGGACGCTGCCAAAAAACTCTGCATATTTTTTTGTCCGGACATCCTCCCTGAAGAATATAAACGAAGGGTGTTTTTTTTGTTTTCTTGAATACTTAACAATAAATTTAATGAAAATTTGTGTCTACTATTAAAAACATACCAGCGTTTATCATTCGTTTGTGATCAACAACGAGTTGATAAGCAACTTTTATCTGATTATTTTCAATTTCCTGTAGCGCCTTATATATGGTGTCTTTACTAAATCCCATTTTCTGAAAATATAAAATGACAATAATTTCAAAGTAAATCTTGAAGGTTTTTTTTTTTTTTTGAAATATATGAACATACTTCAGTCAGACCTTCTAAGTGCACCCTCTATAAGTGCATAACCTCTCTAAATGCACGCTCAAATTCTGACCCAAATACAGTCAGACCTCTCTAAATGCACGTCGTCGGGACCAGCTCTAGCACGTGCATTTAGAGAGGTGTTGCATTTAGAGGGGGTGCATTTAGGGGGGTCTGACTGTACATACTTGACCTCTAAAATGCACTTTTTTCCTTATGATTCTCTAAATGCACATTGTTCAAGTGTGGTCCTAAGGACGTGCACTTAGAGAGGCTTGACTGTTTTAAGACAAACCTTGTGAATTTCCGAAACAATACTATCATCAATTTCACCAAAAGATACTTCATCGTTGTCTGGAAGAGGTTTTAAATAATCAGGTAAACCAACATTAAACCATGATGTTTGTCTAAATCATGTAAGATGGATTAGGTAAGAACTATTACACGATTTTTGTTAAATTTTTTAAACATCATACCTTATTTCCTGGATGGTGATTCTTTTTAAAGGGTCCACAACTAACATAGATTTTAGCAAATCTTTGGTATCCGGTGATAAAAATGGCGGAAGTGTATATATTCCACCTATAAAATAGCCATAACAATGAATTTATACCATAATTGATATAAGCCAATTATTACTTAAATTTGCATGGTTTACCCACCATTTATTTTTTTGAATAATGTTGGTATGTATTCATCATCAAAAGGCAGACGTCCACAAAGCATGACAAATAGAATAACTCCACAACTCCATACGTCTACTTCAGGACCAGCATATAACCTTCACGAAACGATTTGATTTGTAAGACTTTAAATAAAAAACTAATTATGAATTAATATATAGTGATCCTGGCCGATCATTGTTTTATCGGCTTAGTCGATTAACCAATTTTACTAAAAAACCTAGTTTATTCATTCTACATATCAGAACTTTTTAGGAACGCTATAACCCTGGTTTTGATAATAAAAAATTTGTCAGCCGATTTTTTTTTTTTTTTTTTTAAAAAAAAAAAAAACAACCGATTAAGCCGATAATTTGCTTTAGGAGATTTTTTCATTATCGGCCAGGATCACTGTAATTTATAATAGTGATAATTACCTCCCAGATATAACTTCAGGAGCAGCATAATTTGGACTTCCACAACTGGTTTTCAGAAATTCACCATCAGTCATGATATTCGACAACCCGAAATCCGCAATTTTAACATTATGATATGGATCCAGAAGAAGGCTGTTTCATTATCCCGATTGAGCATTATTAAGATAATAAAATTAAAAAGCGAAAGTAATCCGAATTTACTTTTCTGGCTTTAGATCTCTGTGGACGATCTTATGACGATGGCAATACTCTACAGCACAAATGATCTGTTGGAAAAATCGTCGAGCATCATCTTCGCACATCTAAAGAAAAATCAGTATACCGGTAACATGTTACAAAGAAAAACTAGATTGCTAAATAACATTATTTTACCTTGCCTTTTTCTACGATTAGATTGAACAATTCACCCCTAGCATATTCCATCACCATAATAATGTCAGTTGGCATAGTGATTACTTCGTATCTAATTAGCAAAAATAAGATGGACCGATCATGAATATTGGGTAAATGAAGTTAATGCAAATGATACTTACAATTTGATTATATGCGGGTGACGGAGAAGCTTTAAATATTGAATTTCGCGCTTCACTCTTCCAAGCATATCCAGGTTAGCTATTTTTCTTCTGCTGATGAATTTCATGGCTACTTTATGGCCTGTTACAGTGTGTACAGCCACTGCAGAATAAATAAAAGTGAAATGAGAACTTTCCCTAATAATAAACAAAGTAATCCTTGAAGAAATTTGGAAATTATTACATTTAACTTTGCCAAAAGAGCCAACACCGAGGGTCTGTAAAACATTGTATTGTCCGATCTTTATTTTGTTGGAAGCCATACGATTTCCTTTCAAAATGTTAGAAGTGTGTTAAAAAAAAATTAATAGTGTGACATTTTCTACAGCATGATAGCATTGGCGAAACGCCCCAAATATGGAAATGGTGATCCAATTGTTACACAATTGTCAAAAGAATACTTTTTTCTTTCTGTTAAAATTTGATTACGTTTCACCTGCCAAAGTTGTAGGTAATTAACGACCACTACGTTGACAAAATCTCGTTTGTTGTGCGAAAAAAGGTAAAAAAAACTTAATGGTTAACAATGATAGTGTAGGAGGTTATATATTTTTTATTATATGTGTTGTATACGTAGAAAGTTGATAACATATCGGCTGATTTGATTTTTTGGGCCTTTTTTCGATAATCTGTTACACGAAATTTGCTTCTAAGTGATGTTGAAAAAGTAACAAACGAAGCACTTATTACAACTAACAAAAGAGCTTTTTTAACGTCTAGACTAGTTAA